TGTGTGTGTGTGTGCACATGTAAAGGGCAGCATGCTGTCTATTTCTGTACAAGGAGCAGGACTTTGTAAGATGAGAATGATAACCTTTCTCTCGGTCCTACACTTCATATCTTTTCACATATGGATCATTGTCATTGTTGAGTGTCAACCTTTTCTTTTGTACCATTTCTCATTGGTTGTGTCAGTATAATCATTCCTACTGGAGCAATTTGTCTCCCTTTTTCACCACCTTTATTATGGGTAGTTTCATAGCCTGGGTCCACTTTTCCAAAGGATTTCAGTAATGGGTCAGGATCATAGTAGAAAATGTACCTTTTTCAGTATAATAAATGATATTCGGATCATAAACAAATACAGACTATATGTCTTCAATACAAAATATAAAATTTTATTAAAATATAAATATATTTACACTGTAGTTAATTAATAAAACCTTCAGAAACATTCTCATAAACAAATCCCGGAAATGCAAAGCTACCATCAATGAGATTCTTTGTAACATTTAAAAGTATAGTTCAACAGACAAATGAGTTAAATTAACATAGTTTGGTCATTCCTTGACTACACAACATGTTGTAGCTTTATTTGTCCAACAGATGGCAAGGTAGAGGAGTATTTAAAGACTACAAACCAGTGCAATCTTGATCTTGTGGTTTTTCACAGCTGTCAACTCTATTGTATTTCCACCGATAGGCTAAACTTATGCAGTTGTACAGAATTAAGAATAAAGGGATATCAGGGTTTCAGACTGTAATTTATAAAGTATTTGTTGCACTGGTGTTTACAAGCTAGCTTCTGGTTTACCAGACTGAATATCTGCCAACTGCCCAGACATTTGTTTATTATTACCTGCCCTGGCTGTCTGTTTTTTCAGCTCGTGAAGGCTGGGGACACCAACCAGGATGGAGTACTGGACTTTGAAGAGTTCACGCAGTATCTTCGCACCCATGAAAAAGAGCTCAAAATCATGTTTCGTAACCTGGACAGGAACAATGACGGTCTGTAGCAGCCCGTAGCATACAGTTTAAATAATAATTGATGGCAATATTACTTTAAAACATTCATATTGATAGGATTTTAAAATGTTCTCCATACTGTCATTTCTCTGTGTGTGTGACTGGTGGATCTTCATAGGTCACATAGATGCAGGGGAGATCCAGCACTCTCTGCACTCTATTGGTGTGAACATTAGCCTTCAGGATGCCACCAGGATTTTGCAAAGGTCTGTTAACAGTATGTTGATGTCTGATATCACATATGTGTATAAAACCTTGGCTTGCATGTTAACAACTCTCATCACTGAAACTTTGTAATATAGTGGACTGCTCTCAACTGAACTATCGTGCATAGTAGTTCAGAAACAGGTTTATACAAACAATGAAAGGCTAAAGGATTAGCTCAAATTGAGAATCCAGATTTCAGCATCAAATTGTAAGCTTTACCATGTCACACCAACAGCCAAGATACGTTCAGTAATTTTGTCTCATGAACTAACACAATTGAAGACAAAACATTTCTTCCCCCTAAAACTGGTCTCTAAGTGCATTGAGTAAATTATTACTTGTTGGAGTTCTGTCAATCAAAGATTTTAACTGATTTAGTGAGTTTAGATGGCTGGTTAAACATCCTACATCTGAGCTTTGCATCCTGATATGATACATTAAAGTGTCACTGTCTAGATGACATGTGGGACCTTCATCTGTCTAGAATAGGTCAAGAGGTTTTGGGATGATGGCAGAACATTGTAGTTGCTCTGATAATCAGAGCCTGGATGATTATTATTATTATGATTATCTGATATTCCTCCTTATGCATGTTTCCTGTTCATCCCTTCTCAAATAGGAAAGTCTGTTGAAATAATGACACAGTTACGTCTTCTAATGCTGTTGCTTTGTTGCATTGCACTTTTTCATAAGAGAAAAAATTAGCTTTCCCAACTTTCTTGCACCTAGGATTTTTGAAATGCACCTTAAGAGTTCAGTATTGGTACTTTTACTTTGAGAAGTTGCTGCATTTCCTCCATCCAGTGTCTTTAAAATAGCGTTAGTTTTGCACATTCATTTCCTCTGTTAGGTTAGGTGTCTTCTCATACTACTACTACCAAGGCATTAAAGGTTTCCTCACTTCTATCTTTAAACGTGAGCAAATTATTGATCCTACCCTCTGTAAGTCAGTGGGTACCTTAATGATTCTACTTTATATCGATTTCAGAACTTGTTTATGTGTTTATGTGTCATTCAGAATGGACAAAGACGGTACCATGACCATTGACTGGAACGAGTGGCGAGATTATTTCCTGTTTAACCCTCTCAGTAACATGGAGGACGTAGCACGCTACTGGAAACATTCAATGGTGAGATCACACACACTTGAACAAGAACAGCATTGTGTTAACATCTAAATAACAACATGGTTGAGTTAAAGGAAAAAGAAAAAAAAAATCATTTTTAGAGGAAATTTACCCCTCGATTTGAACCTCTGACTGACCGACAAGTATCGCCTTTTTGACTCTTTTCTTTCTTCCGCTCTCCCCTTTATTATCATAATCCTCATTCCAACCACCACGGGTCCAGTAGATGTTGGATATAGGTGAGCAACTGACCATCCCAGATGAATTTTCTGAAGAGGAGAAGAAGTCTGGTTATGTGTGGCGGCAGCTCATGGCTGGAGCCATTGCTGGGTCTGTATCTCGGACTGGAACTGCCCCCTTAGACCGCCTCAAAGTCTTCCGACAGGTCAGTCAGTTATGAGTTCATCTCTTAGATCAGTCTAAACAAAATGATCATTCACGTGTCACTGCCTATGTGTGAGTTTTCTGTTTATCTTTGGTTTGTGGCAGAGAGCTTTGAAATGAACCTTCAGTCAGCCATTACTGCTTTACACTAAGTGTTCCTATCTGACTCTGCCAGGTTCACGGTTCCACTGATTTTACAGGGAATGTGCGGAGCACTTTTCAGTACATGGTGAAAGAAGGAGGATTGCGGTCGTTGTGGAGAGGAAATGGAATCAATGTTCTTAAAATTGCCCCAGAAACTGCAATCAAATTCACAGCTTATGAACAGGTGGAGTAGACTTGAGACCTCCCTTATTGTTTTGGGTTTTTGGAACCTCTGAACAACATCCATTCATTTTTGAATTCCCATATGTCTTTCAGGCATCTATAATGATTTCTCATTCTCTTTCGAATATTTAAAAAAACTTTACTTACTTTACTACTTATCCATTCATCAAATGTTTAAAGGAATAATTCCACATTTTGGGAGTGTCTTGTCTGTATGCTAAATAGAAATCTATCCGCCAGCAGATAATTAGCATAGCTTAGCATGAAGACTGGAAACACAGGAAAATACTGGCCGGAGTATTTCTTGGGGTTTCTGAAAGTTGCTTGGCACCCTCACGGCGATGACAAGACTCCAAGGAAAGTAATAAAAGCAAGGATGGATCATTACACCATAACAACACTGTTCTAATGCTGTTTGGTGCCAGACTTTGTGGGAGATGCATAGAGAAGAACACTAAAACCCAACATATGTATGTCGTATGACCTTTGATGAAGAAATGCCTCTACCAAATGAAAGAAACATAGCATAACATTAACATAACTTGCATGGAGACTCCTGAAATATTAACTAAGTAACAACACACCAAAATGCTGGTGCCTCCATCACCCAGATTAATAACCTGTGAAACTGAGAGGGGAGAGATGAAGGAGTGGTCTGCCTGTTCACCAATGTACGTTCAGGTGCTACACAGTGACAATATGACCTTTCCTTTTCTTCTAGTTGCCTTGCAATTCTGCAGAAAGTCACTCCTCCCAGCCAAGAAATAGTATGACACATAACACCCTGTAAACCCACACTGTGATGTTTTTTTCACTTTGGTTTTTGTATGAATTAAACAAACGGAATATGATGTGTTAATTAGTTTGCTTTAGCGGTGCTGGTAGGTATATTTTGTTACCTTTGGACAGAGCTAAACTAGCTGTGTCCCCATGTTTCCAGTCTTTATGCTAAGCTAAGCTAACTGGCTGCTGGCTATTTTTATTGTACTTGAAAGGGGGGACGGAGGGCGTGGTTATTCTCATTCTAACTGTCAAACAATACGTGTATTTCCCAAAATGTAGCAACAGTGCATCTATTTTCCATCAATTCTATATTATCATTTGTGGGTTTTGAATTATGTTTACTTTATTTACTTTATTCTTTCTTTGCTCTGTAACTCTGTATAGATCAAGAATGTGATGCGTGGCGGTAATGAGAGTAGAAATCTGAGGGTTACTGAGAGGTTTCTTGCCGGCTGTTTGGCTGGTGCCATAGCTCAGACAGCCATCTACCCAATGGAGGTAATATCAGGGTAATAATATTCACACATAGAAACATTTATATAGCTTCAAGAAAATACACTTTTCTGAGTGGTGTGAAATGACTGATACCTTTTCTCTCTCTGTTCCTCCTTGTTGTTTTTCCTTTTCTCTTCCTTTTCCCCACAGGTGCTCAAGACCCGTCTCACACTAAGGAAAACGGGCCAATACTCAGGAATAGCAGACTGTGCAAAACAGATCATACAGAGAGAGGGTGTCACAGCCTTCTACAAGGGCTATTTACCCAACATGCTGAGTATTGTGCCTTACGCTGGCATCGACCTGGCTGTCTACGAGGTCAGAGAGACATGAAAGCACACAGCTTTCACAGTACGTCTCCTTAGCATTTACCTTAGTCTCACTCCCTCTATTCCACAGACTCTGAAGTTTGCCTGGCTGAACAGGAACAGAGGTTTGGCTGACCCAGGGGTTATGGTACTGGTCGGCTGCGGTGCTGTTTCCAGCACCTGTGGACAGCTGGCAAGTTACCCGCTGGCACTGATCCGCACCCGGATGCAGGCACAAGGTTAGGATAACGGATGTCTCATACTAATATAGATTTACAGGCACAAGGTTAGGATAACGATGGTCATACTAATATAGATACAGAGTCAAAACCTTCAGAACGTGTCTTAGTGTAAGCTTCAGTGCTCTTTATGATAGACACTCATAGTCCTTGAATGGCACCCCAAAACATATTTCCTCATTTTATGGTAACAAACAGTAGCTCCTACACACTGTAAATTTATTGAATTGCTTCATTTCTCTACAGCAGCCTTCAGCAGTCATTTGTGTTATTTTATCATTTTTTCTCCTAATGCACCCTATTGAAACAGTGCGTCTCAATAGAGGTGCGTTCACTTTTCTTGTAAAGATGAGGAACCATCCAACAACCCCTTGTGTGCATTTGTTATATTTCTCCCCAAATACGTTCATGTTTTTCCTTCAATTCATCACCCATCTGTATGTGCAAGGAAGCATGCTAATTTAGCAAACCCCAGCACTATAAAACTATGAGTAAAGGTATATACTGTAACTTAATGCTGACTGTTTTCCAAAGCATTCTAGCTGCTAGATTGACTTCATATCTTCTTGTGAGCCATAGGTTTACATACATAAATTAAGAAAAGGAGGATTTTTGTCAAAGGTTGATTCTTGCATAATGTTGGAGCTTTACTGAATGCAACAGGTTTTCAAGACGCCCCTGCTCGCAACTGCATCATGATTCAACACTAATGTAAACTTGATAAAGCAACAGTAAAGGAAACCAAATGTTTATTGTGCGTGATTTCTTCTCTTAGGCAAACTTAGGCAAAGTTTCTCTCACAAAACCAATGGCTGCCTGATAGGTACAAAAATCATTTCAAACTATATCCAGTCAGGAATATGTGGTGGAATTTGCGAGATGTGATAGTATGTGAATCCTGAGTGAAGGTTTCTTTTATCAAACTACCATTTCTGAGGTCTCAGTGCATTATATGCTTTGGAAAATATCTGGCAGTAATGTAATTGCAGGTCTATCGTCTTTATTAGTACCAGGTGTCACCAGAGTCTCATGTAGTGAGAGACCAGAAGTCATCAGTGAAGCTCATCTTTTTCTTTCCCCTCAGCTTCAGTGAAGGGATCCCCTAAACTCTCCATGTCGACGTTACTCTACAACATCATGACCCAGGAGGGGGTGGCTGGACTTTATCGAGGAATTTCCCCTAACCTGCTGAAAGTCATCCCTGCTGTCAGTGTGTCCTACGTCGTCTACGAATACACGAGGATAGTCCTGGGAGTGGACATTGAGGGTAGGAGAGGCGGGAAAGGGAATGGGTAGAAAAAGGTTTGGGGTGGCTTTCAACTACAAGCATGAACAAATCTGTTGGCAATGCATGAGGAACTGGGCCTTGACTGGGGATGAATACATGGTCCTGTGATCACAGGTCTTGAGCTTGCAGGATGGGGATGATAGGATGGAACATAAACCATGCAGCTCACATTTGGAGGAGCTTACCTGAACTGCTGACTGAGGTTTGACTGACAGCTGGCAGCTGCTGTGATGAGATTCACGTGTGATATATTGCAGTGCAATGCATGCCAGCAGTTAATTAACTAGCCTCCTGCTATTGCATTGACTTTGACAGATGAAGACGAGCATGAACTTGCCTGAGAACAAACAGAACCAAACTTGGGAGCCATGTTACATTCCTACAGCATTATCTTTTCTCCTAGGTGATGTATAGAGAAGATAAAGGATTGATAGGAGGACTGATCCAATTGACCCTGAAGTCGCTGCACACAGGTGGAGTTACAGAGTCAGGACTTTGATTGACTCATCTTAAACCAATGTTACAAATACTAATGTAGAGAAATAATTACCAAACAACAGCAGAAAACTACTGAACTGAAGCACAACAGAGGACTTTATATTTTACAGGAGTGAAACTGACACAGCCATATCAAGCAAGTAGGACCCTTGATAACCTCTCATGTAAAATTCTTATGTTTTATAAGTCTTCCTGTTCAGAGAGGTGTGTTTGTGTCTTTTTTTCTAATGTTTGAAACACACTACTGGGTCCAGTGCCACATAGTATTTTCATAAACTGTATGTATATACACTATGGTAAAGGGTTTGTCTGTATCATGAAACAATAACAAATGCTATTTAATGCCAATGAACATTTTTAATGTGTCAGTATTTATTATAGAATATGCTAATAAACCCATGCATTGGGCTGCTTTTGTTAAAAAAATGCCATTAAGCTTTTTTTTTGTAGAACTGAAATGTTGAGAATTGGTAGCTTTCCGTAGACCAGACAGCCTAATAAACTCACTGCACTAATACTCAGCCATTTGTCCTTATGAGCTTCAACCCTGTTGCCTTTAGTTGCCATGCAACAGTACCTAAGTACGTTGTCACTAATTACTTTTGTCCATTCAATATAGTTTCACTAAATAGCTCTGGCAGTGCAGTATAATAGTTATGCAAGCAAGGGGAACTATAATGCCAAAAGGGACCGCTCATATGCAGTTTGATCCCATGGTTTCCAAACAAATAATTGAATACGATGTTTTTTAGAAAGCTTTATTTTACAAGTCTGTCAAAGTGTTAAATAAACAAATAAATGTTTATTGGCTAAAGGGACACATGCCTTGTTTATAAGTTAGTTGTGTTGACCTTGCTACCTCTTGCCTTACAATAACATGATGTATAATTATTATTAAAAATAAGATGCATTGTCTCCGATAATGCATGAAACCCTTATTCACTGTTTTTAACACGTTTTTACAAGTGCAAGTTCTATTTTTACACCTTAGTTGTTACAAATTATATTTCCCATTGTAAAATAGTTAATAAATATATAATGTCTTAATTCAATTGGGCGTCATCTGCACCCCGGCCAGCCCACCTCCAGCCCAGGAGGTGGCGGTATCTTCACTTTATAACACTGGACGTCAACAGCCCGCGGTACAAGGAAGAAGAGGAAGAGGAAGAAGAAGAAGACCCGGCTGTTCAAGGTTCGTTGATTGGTTATTTTAAGTAGGGAAGTTTGCCGGCGTGGTAGGCAGCCTCACTCACATTGGTGTCCTCCGTACGCTCCTGTTTAGCCTTCCCGCTTCTGCGCAGCTCGACCCGGCCGAAGCATTCAGCCTGCCCCCTGTGTCTATTTGCCCCTTGTGAGCAGCATGTCTGATTACGGCGCTCTGCCGACAAACGGAGTCGGCGCTGGGATGAAAAACGACGCTTTTGCAGATGCTGTACAACGAGCTAGACAGGTAAAGACAAACCGAGAGCTCGACCACAAGAGGAGGCAGCCGGAGAGCGAGTTAGCTGCTGGGAAACTGAAGCTAGCTTAATTACCCGTGACGTTAGCCGTACTTAACTAGCTACCCGCTACTAGCAGCGAGCTAGTAGCATTGTAGCATTGTAGCATTACCATTCATTTGTGTTAACACGCTGACCGACCGGGTCGACTGATCGGTTACAAACGGTGGTGGATTGAACCGCGGCAGCAATGTAGGTCACTGCTTCACGTACAATAGAGGATTTGGTCGACAGCGGGAACCGCGGGTGAGGTTAAGGACCAGCTAATTGAGCTGTGTTATAGTGTTAGTTCACGGTAGGAGGATAATTTAACTCCTCAATGTGTGAAACACCATTTTACAACAAATGGACCATTAACTCACATTGTCGAGACATTGTAATGTCCGGAGACGAGCTCCACCGACTCTCTTATTGGACTGTATTGATAACTAGTATTACAGGGACAAAAGTAAGTTAGAGACTTAAATTAAATTAGATGTTTCTTTTACGGTCAGCGGTGAGAGAGTGAAACTGCCTTACAGGTCTTTGTATTTAGGGCAGCGACGACTAACTGTTCGCATTATAGATTAATCTATCGAGGTTTTATTCTATCTATAAAATAGAAAACTGAAACTAGAGATTGTTTGACCACGTTTGCTTTTTTGTTTAATTTATCAAACACAAAAAAAATGTTGTAGCTTGTTTTCTGTCTATTGAGTAATCAATTAATTGTTTCAGCTAAAACAAAGGTCTCTGTTTTTAGTCATGTAGAAATAAAAGGGGGATTCAAGCAATTCAGTATTGCACTTCCATTAAGTTGAGGCACTAGTGAGGAAAAATAACAAAAGAGGAGGTAAAAAATGAATGCAGCAGAAACACAGTAGTGTGGGTCAGTCCTCAAAACTAAGGATGTCCCATGGACAAAAAATATGACCTGAGATACAAAGATGGTGTGTGGGAGAGTAAACCAATGTATCATTAGCAATAAGATGACTACATTCATAAATCAGTATTGTATTCCTATGTTCTTTTATGTTAACTCAAGGTTACTTTATTTGTACCCACAGGTAGATTTGGTCTGTTAAAAGATGACCAAATTATACAAACAATAGATAAACATAATACAACCATGATAAATTATAAAAGACAAGTGCCCCAGGCTCTAAAAATCAGGACTTGTAAAGAGATCAATTTTAAAGGGACACTCTGCCTTGCTGTAGAAGCAACTTCCCTCGAGGGCCAAAAATAAAGTGGAAAGTGAAAGTTACGTCATGGATACGTATCGTTTTCATTGTTAGGTGTGCAAATTTGAAAAATGTGAGGTGGCACCAGCATGAGCTCTATGCTATATGTCACATGCTTACACCCACAAAATCAAACGTAGAGGTCTCTCCCTCTCCTCTCCCCTCGCTCCCCATTCTCCCCTCCCTATAGGTGCAGTGTAGGGAACAAAGAGCAACACATCTATGGTGGTACCGGAGTGATTGAAGTGATGCAAGTTACTGAAACACAATTATTAAATATTAAGAGTTTCAGTTGGGACTATAGTTGTTAAGTATGGGACAGCTAAAGGTAGAAGGTGGGACAGTTCATTTTGAGCCCTGGTCAAGCCTCAAAGACTAGATCCTGTATTTCCCATGATGTAAATTATTGCCATTGCTAGACCCTCCCTGTCTAGTAAATGCCCCCGTCTTTCAAACTCAACAGCTCACACAAAGGCTTTCCGTTCTAAATGTGTGGTCTTTAGGCCCAGATGACCTCGTCAGTGTGGTGCTCATGAGTAAATTGATCTTCATGCATCACAACTTCTGCTGTCTGTTGTTGAGATTCTCCCGCCAAAACTCTGGGTCCCTGAGAGTTCTTCATCACTGTCTTGGGGACGTATTGCAGAACCTTTATCCAGTGTATGTCTTTCTAGATTGCGGCTAAAATCGGTGGAGACGGTGTTCCCTCAGTGAGCAACAACGGAGGTGCTGAGAGCTATCCATTCGCAGCACAGAAACGATCCCTGGAAGAAGCAGGTTAAAAATCAGCACAAACGAACACATGATCAGCATTTGTTTCTCTACATTGTAAGACTCACACTTTCTTCTGTTTTCAGATGAACCCGATGCTAAGAAGGTAGCATCACAGAGCGAAATAGATTCAGCATTGTGTACGTTAAATACACACATTGATCCAATTGCAAGCACTCGCTCTGCTCAGTTTCCAGCCTCTCACCACTTGTTCCTTCTCTTACAGCTATTGGAGCTCAGCTAGCTGCTCTGTCCCAACAAAGGTACGGGTTTATTTTAAGTGTTTCTTTTACTGAACATTTTGGGGGCTTGTGGTTATGACAGAGACAAGATCCTTTTTATATATATACCTTTTTTTTTTTCATTTTTTTTTTTTATTTGCACCACCAGGCCCTCCACAATGACAGAAGAGTACAGGGTGCCCGATGGCATGGTTGGTCTAAGTGAGTACATGCACATACATTTAAACCATAGACATGATGCTTGAGTTGCTGCGTTACATGTTCAATCTAACATCTAAACCTCTTTGCTGTTGTCTTCAAAGTCATTGGCAGAGGAGGTGAACAGATTAACAAAATACAGCAAGATTCTGGCTGCAAGGTCCAGATTGCACACGGTGAGCTAAGTGCCAAGCCCAGAATTACTAAGTCAAAATGTAATGGATTTTCCAGTTGCTCTTGGATTGATACATATTTTCTTATTCATTCACAGACAGTGCTGGTCTTTCAGAAAGAAGTGTTTCTCTGACCGGGTCACCAGATGCTGTACAGTAAGTTGGTGTTCATATTTAAAACAATGCAACTATTCCACTCAGTTTGGTTTGTGGGGACTTTTTGTCAATGGATGTCTAGCAGCTTGGCTCAAAGATGAAGAAATGACCTTATTCAGCTTCTCCAGAGATTTATCGGCTGGTTTAAAGTTTATTAAGAAAGCGTAGTTCTCGCTTAAAGGGGACCTATTATGCTCACTTCCAGCTCTATATTCTTAGACTCCACTAGAGTAGGTTTGCATGATTCATTCTTAAATAACAACCTTATTTATCTTCATGCATCCTCAGTTTGTCCTCTGATTGAAACAAGCTGTCTGTAACTATAACTTTATTCACTAATGTTGGTGGACTGGATCATATATTATGGAGTAAATATTTTCTTGTTTCCCTCTGATTTTCTCTGGCTGCTATGCATCAACTTTCAGTGGTTTTTCAGAGTTTACTAATGGAAGTATAGCTACTTGTTAGCAGGTAGGTACTTTAGCTGCTAACTGTAGCTGCTGTTGTCTGGTTAGCATGCAGCTAACTTAGCCATCCTATTGGGTGACTTTAGCAGACTGGGTTCTCAGCGTACGTTACATCACTAGTACAGGAGCTTTGGACCTAGCGGCTAGCTAATGGCAACAAGTAAGGTGAATACGTCCACCAGTAAACTCCTTAAATCTCAAAGTTGAAAGAGGGGGGGGAAAAACACAGAAAATATGCAAACTCACAACCAAAAAAGCACTTTTGCAAGACATACAAAAGCTCGAAGGGTAGTCCCTGACTCCTGAGCACTTTGACAGATTACGCACGTCTCTCTACTTTTGTTGGTATGCTCAGCCGTGCTCTGCCCCATTTTATTTATTTAAAAAAAACAAAAAAAAAAACTGGTGGGTGGAAGTTCGTGGTCAGGGCTCAGGGCACAAAGGTGTCTTAACCATGATGTGCGCAGTCAGACGAGGGGAAAGGATTTCCGTTTGTTTAACTTCTCAGAATGATTGTTCAAAATTTGTTGGGTCTAGGTTAATGAGTTTTCTGCCTTCTGAAAGGACATACTGCTTGATCCCCTAGACATCCATGAATTCAGCCAAAGCCTTCTTGCACTGCCTGTAATAAGTCGGAATAGTGCGAACCATTACCAAATTGCTTGCATGACCTGTAATTCAATAATTTAATCACCCT